CTTCAGGCCCGAAATGTCAGCCTTCCTGCTCCTCTGATGCTGCTTGGCCTGCTGTGTTCATCCAGCTCTACACCTTGTTATCTCAGATTCTCCAGCATCTGCAGTTCCTACTATCTCTAAAACAATTCTATCCCCATCAGATCTTTTTCACATAGTTACAACCTCTTGCTGCACAGCATCATATCGACTACTGGCCAACACTAAGTGACAAATCTGAGAAGCACAAGAACATAGGGCCCAGACTATCCAGTTTTCACTCTGAACTTTTAAGTCGACAGAAGTTACCACTTTCACAACTGTGACCTAGATTGAAGAGAAAAAATAAACAAAAATCAAAAGTGGTCTTGGATAAACTGAGCTTATGAAATCCTGGTATTTACACAGAAGATGGCATTGATGCTGCCATATGCCAATGTGATGCCAAATCAGTAAGCCAACTTTGACTCGCATGCTAACACATAAGTGCCCAGAAAGAGAAGAACTTTTAGAGGGAACCACCATTTAAAAAGCTCAAAAATTAAAAGGAGATATCCATCTCCCAACCAGGTAAACATCCAAATCTTGTTTAAACAATAAAGCAGAAACAATGCCTCTTCTCTGCTCGTCAAAACAAAGCAAAAGTGGACGAACATTTTTTCCACTGTGGAACAACACATTGTTCAGAATTAGTGTGTTTTGTGAAGAAGTAGTTGCATTTTATTGATGTTTAAATAGCTTATACGGGAAAATGTAACTTAATCAAAAAAGCTAATGGAAAACCCAAAAGTGAACCTATTTGTTACAAACCACATCAACCACATCAAATTGGCAGTATTAACCACAATTGCCATCTATCATTTTAAACAAGATTTTCTGATCTATTTATGATTGCTGTCAGATGTAAGTCAGATGGAGTTGAATAGGAAATGCAAATACTTACTCGAATACTCACTAGTTTAAATTTACATTTTAATGAAGGGTTACACCACAGAATTTTCCTTTATACAATACATGTGCTATTACACATACACACCTTATACCTTTAATGGATGAGGATGTAAAATTCCATTCATGAATCCCCTTCTGTTGAAAAGATAATAATAGGTACAAGGGTTACATCAACAATAAATAATATTAAATGCAATAGTTACGTTACATTCTATTGTTTTAATGTTGCTAAATACAAAGTGCCTGCTGTGACTGAGTGTCTTAGTAGTTAAGGAAAAAAACCACAACAAATGAAAAAAAAGTTCTATCTAAATTCTTGCAGTCTGAATACAGAGTTTAATGCTGTTCATTTTCTTACCCACATCCGACTGGATCAGTTAAGTCTCACTGTCATGTTTAGTGTATACTACAGCAAACAAGATACGGTGTGAATCTAGTCCAGTATAAACAGTACGATTGGAGACCGAGACTAGGCTAAGCACATGTGGGCTATTTATTTGTCACTTAGCATTTCTGGTTTGAGCAAAAGCCACACAAATAACGTGTATTTTTTGCAGCGATTAACATAATTCCAATATGATTGCATGTGTTTTGTAGTATTTCTACTGATATTAATTGTAATACCTTGCCAATGTGAATGGCAGTCAATTAACAGAAATGGTACTGTTTGAATTTCTGGGAATTCGGAGTTTTAACTTGAGTAAATCAAGGATCTTAAATCTTTCCAGATTTGGTTAGTTTTTTTCCCCCCTAAGTTAACCATTGTAGCACTGCCAAAAAATAAAGTTTATAAAAGATATCTCTACAGCCTGGAGACAGTCCAGTGTGGAGGCATAATGTATTTATATTATGTTGCAACATACTGAGTCAGGTATGGAGTAAATATAATGAACATACAACGTATAACAGGAAGTGGCTGGCTGGTCCATTGTCCTTTGATAAATAGGACAAACATGCTTAAAATTCTCGAACATTCTCAAGTGTATCTATGTATCTCTCACCATGTATCTTAACTATCTCCTTTAAATATATGATCTGCGTTGATCCAACTCTGTCAGTGACCTAAGTATGGCAAAATAATCTAAGCTCAACTTGGGAACATACTTAGCGAAGTTCTTCAATTACTCCTAAAGGTAGTTAAATAAATTCCAGGAGAAAATGGTGACTGGAAGACATGTTCTGATCAAAATCCCTCACCTTCTATTTGTAGTCAGCCAGAATCAGAAGTGCCTCTAACTCTCTTTTAATGTTTATAGCCTAGTGGTATTTTCGCTGGACTGTTAACCCAGAGACCCAGATAATGTTCTGGAGACCTGGGTTCGAATCCCGCCATGGCAGATGGTGGAATGTGAATTCAATAAATATTAGAATTAAGAGTCTAATGATGACCATGAATCCACTGTCGATTGTTGGAAAAACCCATCTGGTTCACTAATGTTGTTTAGGGAAGGAAACTGCCTTCCTTAAGTGGTCTGGCCTACATGTGACTTCAGACCCACAGCAATGTGGTTGGCTCTTAACTGCCCTCTGGGCAATAAATGCTGTCTAGCCAGCAGCGTCCTCATCCCGTGAATGAATAAAGAAGAAAAACAACTACAAAAGTCGGCAGCTTGTCCCATAGATCGATGATTTTCTACCAAAAGAACCACCTTCTGACATCAAATCTAGTTCAAACACCTCTCCACCACACACTCATGTCTTCTGATCCTTCTCAATCTTTCTATCTTAAATATCCTGTCCACCTGGACCAAATCTAATCCTTTCATTAAAAACCAAAAGAACTGCATATGCTGTAAATCAGAAACAAGAAGAGAAATTGCTGGAAAAGCTCAGAGGGTCTGGCAGCATCTGCAGAGAGAAATCAGAGTTAATGTTTTGGATCGAGTGACCCTTCCTCACAACTGTTTTAAACAATTATATAAGTAACCTTAATTCTGAACGTTTAGTTTCGAGTAGGAGCGTAAATGTCTGCAACTTATCTTACAGCCCTCAGAACAAATCAGTAGATAAAGCATTTGTAAGTTGTATCTGAATGGGCACAATCCACAACTGGAACTGTAAATTTATTTTGTAAGGCAAAATAGATCTTTTTTGTTCTTTCATGGGATGTAGATGTTACTGGTAAAGCCAGCATTTGCTGTCTGTCCTGAAGTGCCCTTGGACCAAATGACTTCAGGATATTTCATAGGGTAGTTAAGAGTCAACCATGTTGCTGTGTGTCTAGAGTCACATGTAGGCCACAGCAGGTAAGAAATACTGGTTTTCTTCCCTAAGCATGATGGCTTTGTGCCCACTACTTCTGATACATGTATTATGTTCCAGATTTATTAATTTAATTCTATCAGCTGCCATGCTTCAATTTCAACCCCTAGCCCCAGGACATTAACCTGGGCTTCTAATAGTCCATTGAAATTAAGCGTCAACACCTCTCCACAATGGGCAACACGCTCCTCCTGGGACATGATTCACAGCTCTTTCCAATGTTTTAACTGCAGCAAAAATGGGCTTTAAGGTTCTGATAGTCATTGCATGTGACTCATAATAGCAATCTTCTTTTGCCATCTGGGCAACAATGTGTGGTTTTCATGGACTTTTTTCTGTTTCCAGCATTTTCTGTTTTTCTCTTTATTTCATGTTTCCAGCATCTGCTGTATTTTTCTTCTGTTTTTTAATAGTTCCTTCGTAGAACAGAACTTAAATACTACTAAAAGAGACTCAAAGCTGAACGTTTTTGAATTGCACTCATCAGGGCTGAAATATGAGAGCACTTTTCAATGAATCCCCAGTCCCCTTTAGTTTCTGCTTGCTTGTTTTCAATTAACTATTCTACTCTCCTGAAGATACAGAGGGAATATTGTTCTACGGTTCTCTTCAGTACTTCAGCTAAATGGCCTCTCTTCATGTCTGGACTTAGATGATGACTTTTCACAATCTATTTTATCAAGGTGGGACTGAGAAGACCTCAGGATGTCAAAGTTCAAACCTTTCTTTACCTGACATGTATATTTCCCATCTTGCTTGAGACCAGCAATATTTCTGATAAGGTTTTGACAATTTGCAATCAGACCATCAGATTTTATAATTTAGAGAAGTGATGCATCTATAATCTGGCCATTTGTTTCCAATACCAGCTGAATTCTTTTCTCTCTGCTTAAGCTGGGGTGCTGAGGCTAACTCCAGTACTCCCAATACTGCCTTGGATAAAATCAGATAAGTGAACCACAGATTTCCTTGGCTTGTAAGTTTCAGAAAACAATCAGCAAAGAAGAATTCACAATAAGCTGCAAATGAAATGAAAGGTGTGATTTCTCCCAATCGTACCATTTCCTCTGATGAGACATGCCAAATGGATACTGTTTTCTCATCTGCCTCACTGTTTATGGATATGTAGGATGGCTGGTAGATATTTGTTGGTTCAAGAATCAAAACCTAAGACAGAACAGAAGAATCCATAATCCTGAAACTGTGAACAAAACAGTGGATTATTCAATACTTTTACGTCTTCGGTTACATCTACAATGTGTGATATCAAAGACACTTGCATCAAATTCTCCGCTATTTCAATTGAAGCATCAATTGTAAACAGATCCAGAGGAATTACACTCGATTAAGACATTAATTAGTGGTATTGCACATCATAACATCAACACAGAAGTACATTTCAGATTATTACTTTTGTCAAATACATTTAATTTTGATTCCCAAATAAACCAAGTGCGATATGGTTAGAGTAATAATAATGCTTAAATATATAATAAAAAGAATTAAACAATATATTCAAGTGTGAAGGCAATAAAATACTTTAAAGATCTTTGATTTACGTAATTAACACAACTGAGCTAGTTCAGACTATGCTTGAAATAATTCCTCGTTCTTTGTCAGAGAAACAGGGAAGCATTCATGTTGTCACTGGACAAGTAACATAAAGGCCTCATGCTGTGGGGAGACAGGCTCATACCCCACAACCTCAGCTGGTGAAATTTAAATTCAATGAATAAATTTGCAGTATAAGTCTCATAATGGTGATAATAACTATCTGGTTCACAAATATTCTTTAGGAACAGAAACCCACTGTCCTACTCAGTTAGGTCAACATGGAACTTCAAACAATGTGGTTAACTCTTAACTGCCCTCTGAAATGGCCAAACAAGCCACTCAGGTCAAAAGAGAGAGGCAACAAATGACAGCGATGTCAATGATGTCATATTCCAATAAAGAATAAAATATATTATGCAAAGACCATCTCACACACTTACATATTTTTGTACAGAGTTAATTGCAGGAACAGTTCTGAATCTGAGATAAGAAAACTGTGTGACATGGGTTTTTAGCACAGTGGGAGCTCTTCCCAATCCTGCATACAACTTAGATTCAAGCCCATTTCTAGGGGCAAGGATAATTTCCTTTACAAAAATGGATTTTGGGATCATTTATTTGTGGATTTTAGGACCATTTACTATGTTCCTCACTTCTGGTTCAGTGTATAGGAATAGACATTCAGTCTTTCAAACCTGTTTCTTCATTCATTGAGATTATGGCTGTTTTGCATCTTAAATCTTTTCGCATTTATCAATTCCATGTTGAAGACAAAAAAAATTCATCAATTGATATCCAATTTCTACCGCTGATTTTGTGGAAGTGACATCCACATAATCTTTGCATGAAGGCATTTTTCCAATTTATCTCCTGAATGATTTGGCTATTATTTAAATGGATAATTTCCTGAACTGAATGCACTTTGGAAGCATCTGCAATTTCCTCACATTCTTCCTTTAAAATCCTGGGCTGGAGGAATAAAATAGATGGAAATGTGCTGCATAGATCCTGTACATTGATACAAGTTGCCACTGTGTCAGTGGGTCATGGGCTCGAGCCCCACAAACTCTGTTCCACCCACGCAGAGACTGCACACAAAACATAGATTGAAATATCAGCGCAGTCATGAAATATGCTGTACTGTCGGACGTGCTGTCTCTCAGGAAACATATTAAACAAAATTCCTGTTTGCCCTCTTAGGTGGATGCAAAAGATGCCAAGAGACTATTCACAGAAGAGCAGAGGAGAGTTCCCCAATGTCTAGGCAAGGTTATTCCTTCACTAAAATAGATTCTGATCAGTTTGGTGGACTTTACCATTTATAAATTGGCCACCAAATTCCCTACATTACAATAGTAACTTTACTTCAAAATATACCCAGTTGGCCGGAAACCATTTTGGAATGTCGAGAGATCATAAAAGGAGCTAAAAAATACAAAACAAATTTAATTGATGGCATGAGCTAAAAAAAAATACTTTTCTCATTTTGGTTCTCTCATTTCTGACTTATGGTTGATTCTGTTACTGAATATAAATCATATAAATCCTAAAGCCGATGAGATCTTAATAAAAAACACATTTTGTAAACAGAGCCAGTGTCCATTCAGATCTCTAAATCTTGTTGTGGATGTGCTGACCTTAGCTTTCCAGAAGTTTTCTCAGGGTAGGTTATACCCATACTATTTCCTCTGTGAATACGAAAAATGGCCACCTCACAATAAACTGTCTACCTCCAATGGAGCACAAGCAGAAGCTCAGGGCCAACTTGGCTACCTGCCCTTCTGGTTGGGGACAAAGCACACTTGAAGAAGGAAGGTAATGGGCATCCCTTAAGAGAACTAGAGCAGCATATCACAGCGTTCGGTTTGGCAATGATCATCTAAAGCAGGCAATAATAAGATCAGCCTCCTGTTTACATTGCAATTCCAACCAACCTGCTATGGCTTGAAGTCAAAGTTACCTCCAATAAGTATCTGACATCAGCTCGCATTGCCAATGGATGGGGCAGAAGGTAATCCTGGGGTTTTTCTCCATTAGGATGGGAAATCTGAATGATCATATGTCACTAAACAGTTGTGAAGTGTTGTAAAGAACATTAATTTAAGTTAAAGTAGCTCAATCCTTTGTCATCTGCCTGACAGCCAGATGCAAAATTTGAAGACACCCTCAAACAAAATAGAGGACAATGTGCAAAAGCAAAACAAGTCCAAAATTTCCAAAATGGGAGTTGAGGGAGGCTGGGAAATATTAAGGAAATTCTGAGGCAGCGATAACTCACTCTAATTGACTGCAGTGTCCTCAGGTTCAGGAGTAAGTATAAAGATTCTAGTTCCTGATCACCATCCAGTGTCTATGGGTATGTCAGATGATAAACAAGAGCTTTTCCCAAGAGCTGATCATAGCATCAATACATACTGCTTGTGTTAACACACCACTGTTGGGGATTTGTGAAACAGTTAGTGGGGCTAGCACTGTTAGTAGACAGAATCCCCACCCACACAGCAGAAGGGGAGAAAATTGGTAAAAGACAAAGAGAAATCTCCTACCGGAAAACGTAATCCATGGATATTAGTCTTTGTTGCTTCCACAATGATGTCCATCCAGAAGTTGAGACATTCCTGTTTTGGGGAATGATCATTGTTGATTTTCTGGAATTGCTGCAGCAAGATCAGGTTCTGAACTAATGATTTCATGTACCTGAAAAAAAGGGGCAGAAAAATAGCTCAGCGTTTACACTTTCAAAATACACTGAACATTTCCTTTGAAATGAATCTAAGGCATACAATTCCAGGGCAGTCAGTGATTTCCTAGTGAGTAGCTACTCTATAAAACATATAAACTAAATTATAAACTAAATCATCCGGCTTCAAATCAGTATCCAGCATTTTGCTTTTGCTATCATTATTCTTAAACCTTAAAATTTATCTTCTTGTTATTGACTAGCGTTCTTCTTTTGAGATTTTAATTAGTGATCGTGGACGATGTTCAGAGAGGGCAGACTTTCTGGGAACGAGTATATTCCTGCACTTCAAACAAATCTGGCATCAGGATGAGGCATTATTCACACCTGATCACACAAACTGCAAACTCAGTGAGTGGTGCTTCGTAATCATAAGAAAAGTAAGGGAGTTGAGAGAAAGCGAATTTTCAACTGTACATATTGGAAACTACCTATGCACCCTTTGCTTTGGGCTTTCATCAACACAATAAAACTGGACAATCCAATCATGCTGTTGTCTGGATGTCCCAGCAAACTGGAGGAATTCCCCAAATTGTTTAGCGACCCACCAATACAGACCTAGTGACATTACACTATGGTTGCTGTGAATTGAACCTGACATTGCACTATGGCCCCTTGTGGCTTTGAAATGAACTCAAGGATTCATCTAAGTGATTTAAATAAATTCTAAATAATTGACTGATTCCTGCAGCATTGCATTCAAATTATCTTGTTAACACAAAATTACGCATGCATGCCTATTCTCTACTTCTTATTAGCTAACCAATCCTCTATCCATGTTAATATGTCACCCCCTACATCATAAGCTCTTGTTTTGTGCAGTAACCTTTGGTGTGGCACCTTGTCAAATGCAATCAAAGTCTTAAGTACAACATATCCAAAAGGTTTCTCTACATCTACATTGTTTATTGCTTCATAAATGAACTCTAATAAATCACTGATTATCACTCTTCATTGAGATAGAGTCATAGAGATGTATAGCACGGAAACAGACCCTTCGTTCAAACTTGTCCATACTGACCAGATATCCTAAATTAATCTAGTCCCATTTGCCAGTATTTGGCCCATATCCATCTAAACCCTTCCTTTTCATGTACTCATCCAGATGCCTTTTAAATGTTGTAATTGTACCGGCCTCCACCACTTCCTCTGGCAGCTCATTCCATACACGCACCACCCTCTGTGTGAAAATGGTGCCCCTTAGGTCCTTTTCAAATTTTTCCACTCTTAACTTAAACCTATTCTGAGGCTCCACTGATTATGTTACCTAGCGTGGTGATGGAACGTCTGAACAAAAACAAACCAGCTCGGCGAGCAAGTCAATAACCTCATCCACAACCTGAGCTACAGATCTTTGCCAAAACTTTGAACCTATTCCCTCCAGTTTTGAATGTCTGCCACCCTGGGGAAAAGACCTTGGCGATTCACCCTATCCATGCCCCTCATGATTTTATAAACCTTTATATGGTCACCCCTCAGCCTCTGACGGTCCAGGGAAAATAGCCCCAGTCTATTCAGCCTCTCCCTCTAGCTCAAATCCTCCAATCCTGGCAACATCCTTGTCAATCTTTTATGAATGCTTTCAAATATCACAACATCCTTCCTATAGCAGGGAGACCAGAATTGCATGCAATATTCCAAAAGTAGTCTGGCCAATGCTCTATACAGCTGCAACATGGCGTCCCAACTCCTATACTCAATGCGCTGACCAATAAAGGCAAGAATACCAAACATCTTCTTCACTATCCTTTCTACCTGTGATTCTACTTTCAAGGAACTATTAACCTGCACTCCAAGGTCTCTTTGTTCAGCAACACTCCCCAGGACCTTACCATGAAGTGTATAAATCTTGCCCTGATGTGCCTTTCCAAAATACAACACCTCACATTTATCTAAATTAAACTCCATCTGCCACTCTTCAGCCCAATGGCCCATCTGATCAAGATCCCATTGTACTTTGAGGTAACATTCTTCACTGTCCACTACACCTCCAATATAGCTGTCATCTGCAAACTTACTAACCATACTCTTATGTTCACATCAAAATCATTTGTATAAATGATGAAAAGCAATGAACCCAGCACTGATCCTTCTAGCACACCACCAGTCACAGGCCTCCAGTCTGAAAAGCACCTCTACCACCACCCTCTGTCTTCTTTCTTTGAGCCAGTTCTGTATCAAAATGATTAGTTCTCCCTGTATTCCATGTGATCTAACCTTACTAACCAGTCTACTATGAGGAACCTTGTTGAATGCCTTACTGAAGTCCAAACAGAGCACTTCCACTGCTCCTTCCTCATCAATCCTTTAGTACTTCTTCAAATCCATGTTGACTATCCCTAATTAGTCCTCGCCTTTCCAAATCTATGTAAATTTTGTCCTTCAGGATTCCCTCCAACAACTTGCCCTTTACCAATGTCAGGCCCACTAATCTATAATTCCCTGGTTTTTCCTGATCACCTTTCTTAAATAGTGGGACCACGTTAGCCAAACCTCCAGTCTTTCAGCACCTCAGCAAGCCCAACAATCACTTCCCTAGCTTCCCACACAGTTCTAGGATACACCTGATCAAGTTCCAAGGATTTATTCACCTTTATGCATTTTAAGACGTCCAGCACCTCTTCCTCTGTAATACGGACATTTTTCAAGATGTTGCTATTTATTTCCCCACGTTTTCTATTTCCCACATCCTTCTCCACAGTAAACACTGATACAAAATATTCATTTAGTATCTTCCCCATCTCCTGCGGTTCCACACACAGGCGGCCTCGCTGATCTTAAAGGGCCCCTATTCTCTTATTCCTAAAATATGTGTAACTTGCAAATTCTAATAGGCACCTCATTCCTCAAAAGCTGCTCCAATCTTTTGCTTCCAATGCAGTGCTCCTCCATAAAAACTGTTTTAAAAAAGGCAACTGCAATCGTAAGAAAAATCAGGAGTAAAGTTGGTTTTGATTCACTGTTTATATTTCAATTCGCGAGTCAAACTTGCTCAGTTCTACCGCCATGGTCTCACTGCATTTAATCTTAAATTTAATATGCAAAATGGACAATAACAAAGCAGTTGCACTTTTACAGACCTGCCCGGACTTTTCTAACCATTGATTCAATAGCTGCTAAAACCACTGTCATCCTCAAGTAATACTTACTCTCAGTTATGTTCTGATGGAGTCAGACTCAAACTCATCCAATTCACTTGAACAACGATTCTTACCAAAAAGGGGGCTTGAGTTTAAAGAGTTTCTCGGCTGCTTGCACTGCCTTATTGATGTCCTTGGCTAACATGCTGACTGTGAAGAAGTGGCCCACATCGTAGTAGTTGTTCATTTGGTCCAGATTTCCTTTCCTACCCAGCAGACTGTTCAGTCGCATGCCTATCCAAGAGGTGAATTGATAGCTGTAAGTGCAGACACTCTGTAAAAGGACGCTGTTCATATTTCATCATTCCTATGTTTTGGTGCTCATAGCTACAGGATTTTAAACAGTAAATGAAGCAGTTGGTTTAACGAGCAGAAGTGGTACTGACCTATAAATAACAGGAATGCACTATGTTTGATCTCTGGTCATTCCTGGGACAACAGATTCCCCACCCTTTTCTTGATATCTTTGTTGAAAATGGGCAGAAGTTCTGAACCCAAAGGCCATCTAGCAAACATCAGGGCATAGGTAGCTTGCCTGGATTCCAGGCCAGTCTGCAGCCATTTCCACAGGAATGAACCAAACCTGTGACAAGTGCTGTATCATGAATGTCCCTTCAGGAACAAATACTTCTGATCTCCGTTGCATATGTGCATTTGCAGCTATCAGCACATTGCCTATCCAAACAAACAATCTGAAAAGTTACACTTGAATTATTTTGATAGATAATGAAAAAGACCAAAACCTTAGAAAGGAATCAGCATATTTAAACATATTTAACATATTTAAACAATTATAGCACAGGCAAAGTTGTTTCCCATGCTCTGCTAGGGAGACCCATCTATTGGCAGTGCAACTTGGAAATGGTTGGAAAATCATAGTGGCAGCACATAGGAATTTCCAACGGCAAACTCCCTGGACACAAAGTTGGAGAGTAGTTGCTGAGGCAAGGACTAGGATGCTTTCCAAAGGATGCTTTGTCAAAATCAATATTTTTCACCTCAGGAATCCAGAGTGATCAGCAAATATGGTCATCTAATGCTCCAAACGCTCTTTGCACTCAAAAGGATATTATCCAGTGTTGTTGATGAAAGAGCATCACCAAGGATCAAATTGAAAACTGGCCCTATGTCACTTAACCTCATGTCACCATAACAAGGCAAATTACAGAATTCTACTGAGATTTCTTAACTGCCCTGAACACCAGGAACAGGCGGAAAGGCAGGCTGTGAGAGGGATACAAAAAGTTTACGTGAGATATTGGTAGGTTAAGTAAGTGAGCAAAATGCTGGCAAATGGAGTATAAAGAGGGCAAATACGAAGTTGTTCATTTCGGAAGGGAAAACAAAAGAACATGTTGTTATTTTAATAGAGAAAAACTGCAGAAAGCTGCCACATAAAGGGACTTGGGTGTGCTTGTGCATGAAACACATTAAGCTAGTTTAGCAGGTAATCAGGAAGTTTAATGGAATTTTGGCCCTTATTTTAAAGGGATTGACGTATAAGAATAAGGAGGTCTTACTGCAACTGTACAAGGTGCTGGTGATACCGAGAGCTGTTGTGGTCTCCTGATTTAAAAGATAGTATTTCATTTGAGGCAGTTCAGAGAAGGTTTACTTGGCCTGAAACGTTGATTCTCCTGCTGCTCTGATGCTGCCTGACCTCCAGCTCCACACTATATTGACTCTGACTCCAGCATCTGCAGTTCTTGCTCTCCACTTGGATGATCCCCGGGATGGAAGGATTGTCCTATAAGCAAAAGCTAAACAGATTGGGATTCTACTCACTGGAGTTTAGAAGAACGAGAGGCAATCTCATCAAAAGATGTAGGATTCTTAAGCGGTTTGACAGGGTAAATGCTGAGAGGATGTTTCCACTCATGAATAAAGGGACACTAATTTAAGGCTGAGATGTGAGGAGGACTTTGTTCTCTCAAAGAATTGTTATAACTCATTGTCACAGACAGCTGTGGGGATAGGGTGCTTTGTGTATTTTTAAGGCTGAGATGGATAGATTTTTGATCAGTTGGGGAATCAAGGGTTATGAGGAGAGGGCAGGCAAGTGGAAGTGAGGAACGTCGGGTCAGCCATGACCCTATCTAATGGTACAGTATGGTTGAGGGACTGAATGACCTACTCCTATTCCTATTCCTATTCCTTATGGTCTTAAATCACTTTTGAAACTGTCAGTACAACGCAAGCAACATTCAGTGTCGGGTCCCTGTACCTCCTAATTGTGCAGAGGAACATTAAATTATGGTGGGGTTCATAAACTTTGTTTTGAATAAAATTAAACGCTCATGCTTTAACATTGATGTACTCACCAATTTTTCTCAGTTCCATTGAGCTTTCAAACTGCTGACCAGCCGTAATTAGGAGAATGGCCAAATTAGTCCCAGAATATAGGGCTGGTTGGAGCTCAAAGCCTTTGCGATACCTGATTATATGTAGAAACAAATGGACTTATTCATTCAATCAGTGGGAACAGTACTGTCTACACACTGATCCCAAAAGTTATCAATAGCTGTCCAACACTTCAAAAACGACTCTAAAAATGGACCTATGTGGTTGCATTGTAGCTGGCATGTAGTTATACTTAACAAGCGATAGAAAACAGATTCATCATGACTTACAATTAGGAAGGTGATGGCCTAGTGGTATTATTGCTAGACTATTAATCTAGAGACTCAGGTAATGTTCTGGGCACCAACGTTTAAATCCCACCAAGGCAGGAGGTGGAATTTGAATTTAATAAAAATCTGGAATTTGGAGTCTGATGATAACCATGAAACCATTGTCGATTGTTGGGAAAACCCATCTGGTTCACCAACTCCTTTTGGGGAAGGAAACTGCTGTACTTACCTGGTCTGGCCTATGTGAGTCCAGATCCACAAAAGTGTGGTTGATTCTTAACTGTCTTCTTGGCAATTACGGATGGGCAATAAATAGAAGTCTGGCCAGCAATGCCCATATCCCATGAATGAATTTTTAAAAAGCTTCCGATAACTCAGAATTTTGATAATTGCATAGCAAATAATTAAGGGGAAAACTGCTCAAATTCTCCTTAATTTATGTGGGGAAATGACATGTCTTTGTGGATCTATATTGGAATTATTTGTGGCTGAGTCTGATTTTTAAGGCTTACACTTTGAAACATTGATCTGTAGATTTGTTTTGTTGCCTCTCTAGCATATGTTGCAGCATCTAATCCTGTCCCCGTTTCTGAGGTAGGCCAAACTCCGACACTTGTCTTCAAACAATGCCTCTTCACTTGGACACCTGTATCTATGTAGTGTACTGAACTTGCACCAAAGAGGGAGCTAACAGAGCCAGAATCTACAGTGAGATAGTCAGAACTGCACATGCTGGAGTCAGAGATAACACAGTGTGGAGCTGGAGGAAGACGGCAGACCAGGCAGCATCAGAGGAGCAGGAAAGCCGACATTTCGGGTCAGGACCCTTCTTCAGATTTCGTCAGCTTTCCTGCTCCTCTGATGCTGCCTGGCCTGCTGTGTTCCTCCAGCTCCACGCTGTGTTGTCCCAGAATCCACAGTGTCGCCTATCATGATGAGGCTGATGAATAGGCACTCATGTGATGAATAGGTAGTCCACAATCCATTTACAAGAAAACTAAATAAACCTGAAAGAATCAAACTGAAATTGGGTGTCAGTCTGAGTTGATGTGGCATGTATATTGGGTTCTCTTGAAGTAAATTAGGGTTAATTCCAGATTTCGTGAAATCAGCTATTTACCATTCTGGTCCTGCGGTAAGATCACCCTGAAATCTCTGGAATGGAGTGAAAAGCTTCTGAAGAGTTACAGATTTTGACCTTAATTAAGGCTTCCTTTCAGTATCCACAAGGATGCTGGAAGCTACAGGAGCTCGTGGTCAAATACTGGATTTTAATTGTGTGTGCCAACTCTATGATGCATTTGGGACAAATTGCAGAATCCACCTCTGACAAGAGGGGAATGACAAAGTATTGCCACTGTCATCTATCCTATTACATGTCTTCAAAAATATGTTGGATGACATTGTGTGGGCTGCTCTTAGCAAAATGATTAGGCTCCAGTGTGAACAAATCTGAGCATGGATTAGAGTACCAGGCACATGGAACAGTAACTGTAAAATGAATGTGTGCCATGTCCCCCGCATGACTATCTAATCTCCAAACCATGGAGGAAAATACAATGTAGACGGACACCATTCAGTCCATCGTGCCAACAATTTGAAGGGTTATCTCATTAGCTCCACTCCTCTGCACCTTGCATAGTCCTGCAAGTCTTCCTTTAAATGTATATATTGAATTCCCTTTCCAAAGGTATGAATGAATCATGTTTCAACACCCTTTTCAGATAACTCACTGTTTAAAACAATTTTAATCTCACCCCAGTATTTGTATTATAATCCTGAATCTGCATCCTCTATTTACTAACCTCAACACCAACCCGTCCCTTACCAATAGCTCTTAAATAATTTCTCATCAGCCTGAACTGCACTATATAAATCTCCCCTTGTTATGGTCAGGTATGCATTAATTAGCTGAAAGGGCATTGAAGGCAGAATCATTAGTAATTTGTCAAATTCCCTTTTGAAAATAAAGGACCTAGACATGCAGGGTTATGGTGACAGGGTAAGCAATAGTCGGACAGTCTTTACAAAGATCCAACATAGACACAATGGGCTGAATAGTCCGACTCCAAGCTGTAAGATTCTATGTATTAAATTTTAACTGAAAAGTAGGTGAATCATATCATGGGCCTAGATGTAAATTTCTTGAAAAGGGAACTAAACCCATTTCGAAGCAGGTTTTAACACAGGTGACAAGAGGTGCTGGCATCCAAGCCACTTATGGGAAGCAGATAACCACAGCCATCTGCATTTCCTAAGCATTGGGAAACTTAGCAGCTGAAAGGAAACAAGAAGGACTGAATCCATGAGGCAAGTCCAACATCCACCACCTTGAACATTCACTGCAATAGCTTGCCAAAGTTTCTTTGATAGCACTTTCCAAACCCATGACCTTTACCACCTGTAGGAATAAGCGACCTGCAAGTCACATACCAATCCAAAGTGAAACTCTCTCTTTGTTCTTTCACTGATGAAAAGCCTGGAATTCCCTTCCTACATTATTTGTGGGTGTTATGGGCTGCAGCAGTTCGCTACCACTTTCAAGGGAAATTAAGGATGGGCAAAAAATGTCTACGAATACGAGCGATGTTCACACCACACAAATGAATTACCGCACTGCTTGTGGGTCAGGGGAAGCAATAGTGCGCTGTTGAAATGTCACAATTGTCTCAAACATTAATTGATGATCACTGAACCCCAGTCACTAGCAGACGCCCATAGCATTCACATTGTGATCCCTTCCAACTAGATCTCGTGCTTTCACTCCTGTGACTTGAATTGGCATCACAATGTTTTTCACTCACTTAACAAGCTTCCCAGCTCTTGCATGTCTTAGTCCAGTTCATTATATTATGGCTTTCCAAATTTGTCTTATGTACAGACTCTAGGTCAGAAAACAGTTCAATTGAAAAACAGAAATAAGGAGAACATTTCAACTCATTTCTAAAGAGGTGAATTTTCTTACCATTCCATGGCACTGTCTCGGTTCACTATATCATTGCAGTACGAGTCAAGAAAGAGGTCTTTATAAATTTTTCCACATAAGCAGTACATATCAGGGGCAGGCTGCTCACATGAATTCAGGATTTCAAGCATTACATTCAAGGCTTTTTCTCTGTCACCTGGGTAATTCCTCCTTCAGAGAGAAAAAATACAAACAGCACAACTTTTAAACAGTGTTGTACAGTCACTGCAGGATACTGGGCCAAGATTTACTGTGCTAACAAACAGTATTTTCTCATGAATGGTGCCTGCTGACATCGAAGCACACTTGGAACTAGGACTAAGCCAGAATGATTCTAGGATTGCACTCACCACCTACTCACGTATTAGTGCCAGTAATTAATAAATGGTCCTGTCGTAAGATGGCAGACTTGCCTTTCTATATAAACCTCAGTTCAATCTCAATACAGGGCAGAAGCAATAGTGGAGACTCTACTCTGCAGAACTTCCCCATCATTGTGAATGATGGTGGGAACATTCAAAGTAGTCAGCAAACACAACAGGAATCCTTGGGGAATGCCCAAAGCAGAAGCATTGAGTCACTCTCGGCTTTAGTGAATGCTGTGTGAAGACAGTCAAGCTCCAAAATCAGTCAGCCAAATGGCTTGTGCAACAGAAAGTCAGCATGGGGAGAACAGCTAGGAACCTCCTAGTCCAAGCTATAAAAGGTGGCAAATAAAAAGGTTGATCAAGAAGATCCCATTCAACAACATAGGACAAATGAAGTCATTCATCCTTGCTTGATACAGATACACCTCTGGACAGAAGTAAGTCCCCAGTCTTACCCAAGACTTTAGTTCATCAGGCTGACCCAGATCAGGTTTCTCATTGACCAAGTTGGCATTGATACCATACTGCTTCAGGTCTTGTTTCCAAACCTGATAAAGACCAGGTTAGTGTGCTCTTATATCCTATTGGTTACACTGATGAAAAAAACAGTTCTTTCCCAACTTTGTATTTTGCCATGTCTTCATCTATCCTAAGCTTTAATTAAGGTGCTTGACACCTACTTCAGTCTGAGTAGTAACACAGTTACTAACCACACTGGAGTTAATAAGTGCAGCCCAGAAAAATTCTGCATTCTTTCATAAATGACCTTTGTGACTATGGACTGAGCTAATCTAAAACTGCACGGAAGTTGGCATCTTAGCAGAGGCTCTATCTGATCTTTCACAGAAGACCTCACATTTCTGAAGAAGGGTCCCAACCCGAAAGTCAACTTTCCTGTTCCTCTGATGCTGCCTGGTCTGCTGTGTTCCTCCAGCTCCACACTGTGTTATCTCACTTTGTCCAAGCTGTTTATTCTGCCTAGCAAATTGAAATCTGTAAAAGTTCCTTCTCTGGGAAAGAAGATGATTTTCCTCAAGAGCTCATAGTTGAGTTTGTCCACTTGTTTTAAAGAAACCACAAGCCAGCAAGGGCTCTTAGAAATGGAAAGCAATGGGAAGAGGACACAGAAGCTGCCATTGCTCCTTGTCTGTGGTATGGTTGGAAACACCCTCAAAGGTGGGGAAAACTGCTCAGCCGGTGTGTTGTGCCATGGATGTAATTAAAGAGATTATTTCAGAATTCTAAAAAAAGTGGAAGCAGCACAACAGTTCCAAAGTGGGACATAATTGCAGAACCAAATTGACATAACCTATTCCTATCCACGAAATAGATGCTAATGAAGACAGAAAGGAATTTTTTTATCCCTGGGAGAATTTAGATTGGACAGAAGACCTTTGATACACAGTAGTTTCTGTTAAGGACAAGTAAATTAGGTACCAGGGCCTGTTTGCCCACCATTCACAATACTTTATATTTTCTTTGAGTCTCTAATGTTCAACTATAAGGTACAGGATGTATTCCAATGTTAAGTCACGGCAGCAAAGTGTCACATTTTGCAGTAATGGACATGAGTTTAGAGACAATTTGTATATCATTTCTAATCAACGGCATACTTCACTGAGCAGAGAAGCTTGCATTGCCCAGAAATTTCTTTACACCAAAACAACAGACAACGATGGTCTACTCTTCTGCATTGACACTCCATCCCCAGAACAGGTGAATTTTCCCGATATTCCATTCCTTTTTGAATAGATTGGACTTTGAATCTGACCATTTTACAGGCATCCAGAGTAACTGTCTAATGTGGGCTTTTGGCCTCTTTCCCAGGCTAATGAGGGCCTTAATTCCAGATATCAGGCCTTAACCTACCTATGGGGGAAGTTTCTCGCAGAAAATCAGTAGCATCCCTCTCCCATTGCCAGCGTTGAGTTTTGGGCTGGGTCAATGAGTACACAGGAGTCTCTCAGCACAGAGGCTATGGGTGAGGGCAGATGCGGGAGCTTTTTATATGTTGAGGTCTATGAAAGAGTGTCTATTGGCAACGGATCTATGATTGGGGAGTTATAAGCAGGGGATTTGTGAATAAGTATAAATGATTATCTATGACTAGAGATTTACAAGCAGGTTGTTCATGATTGAGGGTATCTGTGAGTTTGCGGGGAGAGAGGCGAGGGGGGTGGTTCCTGAGTTTGGGGTGGGGAGTGAGCAGGAGGGGTCCCATGTCAGTGAGTGGAGTTTCCTAAGCAGGGAGTCTGTGAGTGGCTGCTCTATGAATGTGGGATCTATGAGCAGAGGCCTGTAAATGTGGGTGGCTGCTGGATTGTACATGGGGGCTGTATATCAGACGGGATTCAATTTATGCATTTTATCAACCCACTCCCAGGAACTAATGGTAGGCAGGATAGGCATACAAATTGGATGTCAAGCCTAGGACTTCGTTGCTGGTCTACTCATCCATCGTTGGTCTACTCATCCATCGCTACTCTTTTGTGGTAGGAGGTCATGCGAGAAGGACAACCTAATCACCTGTCAGTATATCACTAAATCCCTTAAAAAGCCAATTAATGTCTACCTCAGCCTTGAATATATTTATTGACCCAGCCTGTAAAGTTCTCTGTGGTAAAGAATTCCACAGATTCACTACCGCATGAGAGAAGAAATACCTCTATCTCTGATTTGATTCACAAGCCCCCTTACTCTGAGATTATACCCTCTGGTCCCAATAAATCAGAGATATTTTTTAAGTGATCCAGCCAGCCTATGCCTCTTGCAAACCAGTGGGCTCTTTCAAAAAGGAAGAAACTGTCAGCAAAATGAGTGCAACAGGATTTGTGGATAAAAACTACTGAACTATCTTTCCAGTCTTCCCCTCTGTCCAAGTGTTCTTTTTTTCCACTGTCTGTGTTTGGGTATTGCATGTACGCGTGTGTTTGCATGTGCAAAGGGAGTTCATAATGGGATTAGGGTTTTAATCAGTAGTCAGTACGTGCTGATGGTCTATATCTGTTTACCTGTAACGACAGTCTAATTACTTGTAATAAATTGTGATTCTTGTTTAGTATAGAAACTTGGTCCAGGTTATCTATTGACCCATGTTTGTAAATCAGGAGAATTGGGGAATTTTACATACTTATTGTAAAATCTTTACCTTCTGTGATGAATCCAGGGGCTTAATTTCCAGTGCATTACAGTGGATGACAGCCACTCTGTGGCCAATCGAGGGTCCTAGCTTCAAAGGGGGAGGCATTCAGCACTGAGAGCCACTATCATCCCCTGCCTCCCTTTCCCTCGACCTGCAACATTCAATTCTCACTGTGTCCTTGCTGACCTGTGACCTACAGTCACTTGACAATCCTCGGACCTTGGTGGGTGCATTGCCACATCATATGATTAACTTCTAATTTCAAAGCTTAACAAATATGAACAGAGAGAAATTCCTCCAAGCCTGTCCACCGTTTAATTAAACATCTTTCACACATTATTCCGTACCTCTCAACTCTTCTCCAAGAAATAAAGTCTGTCGATCTCCATTTTGATCCCCATTAGATTCCTGACAACTTTTATTGGGGAGTGAAGTCCATGCATTCTCTATCCTTTGTTCGAATTAGCACTTTCTGACTTCACACCTAATTGATTGAGCTTTAATTTTAAGATGTTGTGTCACACTGACAACAGTGAGGAGCTACTATTGACTGGCAGCACATCTCAGCGGGCAGGACGCCCGCTACCTTGGTCTCGAATCCCGGGAAAGGATGGACAGCGATCGCTTAAGTGCCTGAAGGTACTGAATATCACTGGGCCTCCCGCATGGAAATGATGGGGTTCTCTGACCCGTGGGTAAGATCCCCATCAGATCCACTGAATCTGACCTCATGTTTCCAAATTATGAGGGCATAGTTTATATTCCCTTGTGCCTGTATTCCCAAGTTTTTAAAAGATTATGGAGTGATTCAATAGTGGTATTTAAAATGATATAGGTGTTCAACAGGATAATTGTAGATAAAACCACCTCTGGTAAGGGAATCTAAAAACAACAAGATACAACATCTTAAAATTAAAGCTAAATCAATTAGGTGTGAAGTCAGAAAGTGCTAATTCGAACAAAGGATAGAGAATGCATGGACTTCACTCCCCAATAAAAGTTGTCAGGAATCTAATGGGGATCAAAACGGAGATCGACAGACTTTATTTCTTGGAGAAGAGTTGAGAGGTACGGAATAATGTGTGAAAGATGTTTAATTAAACGGTGGACAGGCTTGGAGGAATCTCTCTCTGTTCATATTTGTTAAGCTTTGAAATTAAAAGTTTATCATATGATGTGGCTAGAATCACAGGTATTACTGAGCTTAGGTTATGCCACAGGTCCCTAATCGCATTTTGGTAACTGAATATAATTGATGGCTGCTTTTCATCTACCCTCATTTAGCATTGATTTAGAAAGTGCCTTACAAGACAAAATGATAACCCCACAAGGACTTAATGTGTATAAATGCATAGAATCAACAGCACATAAACAGGTCACTTATCCCAAGTGGTGTACACCAATTTCTATGCTGCACAGGGATCTCCTCTCCATCAACCTCACCTTCTATTCCTTTCTCTCTCATGTTTATTTAGCTGCATTAAATCACATGATCCTGGATACCACAGCCCCAGAAGACTAGAGGCAAGGTGTTCTCCCAGTTACTTCACAGCGGTAACTGTACCTGTTCAGTGCGAATGCATAGTGAAATTTGATGTTGTGCTGATTAGCCAGGTCACAGGTCGGCAACATCTCCAGCGTCTCTACCAGCTTGACCATGCCATCATAATCCTGTCAGAGGGAGAGTAAAAGAACTCTTAAAAAAAATTAACAGCCAAATCGAAAATAAAAATGGCATATTTCAGCTGCGGTAAAACCTTCTTAAAATTGTGACTTGAAACATCAGACAGAGAGCTACAAAGTGAGCTAAGGCTGACACTGTTTAATACTTACAAACAATACTGAGCATTTATGATCAAAATTTGATGCTGAGCCCATGAGGAGACACACGAAAGGAGAGAAGTTTATGGACTGGGAATTCCAGAAGTTAGGGCTTTGGCAGCTCAAGGCACAGCTGTCATTTGTGGAATGGTTAAAATAAGGAATATGCAAGAGGCTTATAGGGATAGAGGAAGCTTAAAGAGATAGAGAGGGCAAAAGCCATGGTGGAATTTGTAAAACAAGGGTGAGAATTTCAAAACTGAGGCAGTTCTCAATCACAAGCCAATGTAGGTCAGCAAGCAAAGGGATGGTGTTAAATGGAACTGGGTACAAGTCGGCACACAGGTAGCAATGGCATGGATAAGGGTTTGAGCAGCAGGTGAAGAGAGTTGAGGCACAATTGGGTGATGTTAAGGCCCAGTTTCCATTACACTCTTTTATTAAATGTCTTGGGAAGTTTTTTTGTTATAAGGAGCTACATAAATGCAATTTGTTGTTGGTGCATTGCGGTGTCTCTCTCTGTCTGGATGCTCTGTTGTTTTTCCGCAGTAAGAATTCCATGTAGTTTTCTAAGAACACAGTAAAGTATCTCTTACAAAGCACTTGGCTTCTCTGTACCTGGATGTCCCTGTATGAGAAAAGCAAGTTTGTGATAATGTCAGGCGTGACAACCTCAGTGCTTTCTATACGCTGCTTAATGCCAGTGAGTTGCTTGGCAAGTTCTTCTCCTTGGTATCTCTCCCTCAATTTTCGAATGTCGCTCAGCAGAGTATCCTTAACATATGTGCTGTGAACACAACAAGAGAGACTGCATAACAGGTATGACAAGAAATATTTTGTAAACGACAATTCAAGAGGTGACAAAATCGGTTTTACTGCTAGAACAGCAAATGTGTTGAGAACAAAATTGTGAACGCGATTGAGTTATTTATCTATGTATTTGATGCAGCTTCCAGACATCTGTTCCTACAATTGTAAAAACAATGACTGCAGGGAATTATTAAAAAGTCCTATTATAATTAGAAGATTGATAAAATGGAGAAGCTGGATACAAAAGCAGAGGGTGAAAAATTGAATTCTGAAACAGCATGGTATGTCTGGAACATAGGGTTGGGCACACTTCATTTTGAGCCAATTTTGACAAACTTCTACACTGCAAACCCCACAGCACCAAAGTATTTTAAACAAATGTCTAGCTTTACACGAATTTCTATGGCTCATGAAATCTTTTGATCATTACTCATTTTGGAAAAGCAAGCATCCAAACTTATCTAATTTTGGACTTGGTAGAAACAATTGCACTAATAAAATGTAGAAAGTATGTATTTATTTAGCTTAACTTAATAAACTAATAATTATTACGGTGGAGAACAGAGCTGCTGTGGAAGGAGACGAGATTTAACGTTTTACGTTTAGAGCACTAGTCTATTTTTATTCAAAAAGCAGATATCAGGCGGGTGGTTTGTGGTTTTTTTTCCTGTAAAAGAAGCAATAACTACCCAAGGAAGTTTGAAGCGCACGCCGAAATATTTACAGCAATTAAAACTAAAGTTCACTGGAATTTTCACACATCAGTAATGTGAACATGCTTCACATTTAGCCAGGTAAGGGTGGCATGGTGGCTCACTGCACCAGGGACCCGGGTTCAATTCCATCCTTGGGCAACTGTGTGGAGTTTGCACATTCTCCCAGTGTCTGCGTGGGTTTCCTCCGGGTGCTTCAGTTTCCTCCCACAGTCCAAAGATGTGCAGTTTAGGTGGATTAGCCATGCTAAATTGCGCCTGGCATCCAAGGATATGCAGGCTAGGTGGATTGGCCATGGGAAATGCAGGGTTACAGGGATAGGATCTGGGTGCCTGTTTGAGAGTCAGTGTGGATTCGATGGGCAGAATGGCCTACAACCACACTGTGGCGATTCTACAATTTTATGCCACGGTCACATTGTGCACCTGTAGAAACGCAAGTCTCATTTCACATCACGTTGATGTTTTTTTTCTACACTTCCCTTCTCCCCATCCATACTTTCAATTCACAGACCAAGTTGAAGTTTAAGTTAATATTTCTAGTCATATGAAAGTCAGTACCATGAGGGGGTAACTTCAATATCTTTTAGGAGACTGATAAATTTCTCCACCAATGGCTGGCAGAAAGGTCCCAGTAAGATGTCCCAATTTGGTTGTAAATACTCAGAAACTCTCCGTTGAAAATCATTCTCACAGCACAGGTAATCGTTGTTGGTGGTCGTCACATAGGGGATGAAATGATAGTTCCTGCTAGCAGCCTGGCAAAAAGAAAACACCTCTTTCAGTCAATTGACAAAGAAAAGATCTGGACTTCTTGTAAATCTAGTGGTTGTTTCTTATTTTGTTGATTGCAGGTCAGAGAAATCAGTGAGCAGAATGTGAACAGGACAATGGAGGCAAGTCTGTAAAGCTTATCTTTCAGTCCAAGTGCGATAAATTGCTAACTTCCAGTCCAGGCTTTACAACCTGAAGACAATAAGGTGCAGAGCTGGATGAACACAGCAGGCCAAGCAGCATCATAGGAGCAGCATTAAGACATCTCTGCCCTGGCTTTGAACCCATTTCAGCTCTGGCACTGTAAACTGCAGTAGGGTGAGATGGCATGCAACAGTGCCGCTTGCGGCTTAACTGTTATTCATGTGCATGGAAATGGACACAAAACCTTATACTGCTTCTCTGTTTCGTAGTATCTGTGGTAAAAAATATCATTGTATTCAAACAATTTTAATAGTGTAGCCCTTGTAACTTGTCTGTCACAATCCAGTTTCTTTCCTGCTTCATAAAGCAAAATTGAGCTTGTTCAGTACCAAGGGCTAGGTCTGACAGGCCTGCAAGTTGTGTAACTGACTAACTATCATTCAATACAACAAATGATAACTTCTGATGGACTTGCAAGTACATTTATATGAATGTATCTTCAGTTGCCTGATTTATTATGCCCAAGGTAACCAACCACAGAAGAAGGAAAAAGAAAAACTTGCATTAGTACAGCAACATTCAGGACCACAAGACATTTCAAAGTATCTTAAAGCTAATGAATGACATTTTAAAGTGTAGTTATTCTTTTAAAGGGGGAAATGTGGCAGCCAATTTTGTGCACAGCAAGCTCCAACAGACAGCAGTGTCATCATGACCAGATAATGTATTTTTGTGACGTTGATTCAGGAATAAATATTGGCCAGGCCACTACAGAGAACTAAAAACCGAAAGAACTGCGGACGCTGTAAATCAGGAACAAAAACAAAGTTGCTGGAAAAGCTCAGCAGGTCTGGCAGCATCTGTGAAGGAGAAAACAGAGTTAACGTTTCGGGTCCGGTGACCCTTCCTAAGTTCTGTTGCTGTTTACTGATACGTGTCAGGTTGACAAAGGAATCCAGGTCTGTTGTAGTTAGCACTGAATCTCAGCAAAAGCTGCTCTCCACTCGGAACAATGCTTCCAATATTATGCAGAAAGGAGACAGACATGGCCCTTGATCAGGAAATAAAGAATTAAGTACAAGAAAAAGAATACTGCAGCTGCAGGAGATCTGAAATAAAAACAGAGGGGGAGTTCTGAAGATCAGTCATATTGGATTTGAAATTCTAGGCCCGAAACGTCAGCCTTCCTGCTCTTCTGATGCTGCTTGG